AACTTAACTGATGACATTATAAACGAATATTTTCCTACACTGTTTGTGATAACAGTATATAATAGCAGTTTATTGTTTGTAATAATAGTATAAATTGAGATTTTAACTTAACTAATGACATTGTATATTGAATATTTTTCTGTACTGTATGATAACAGTAAATAATAGCAGGTTTACTGTCTGTGATGACAGTAGATATTTTAAGGTTACTGTTTGTGATAACAGTAGAAATCAACGGCTGACTTTTTGTGATAACAGTAGATATCAATTGCCGTGGCGCTCCGGGGCAACTTAAAGATGATTGATGGTGCCATTTGACTTACAGGTGAGGAAAACCCGGAAAACCTCACCCACCATCATCGAGACGGTAATGTATGGCGAATTTTTTTAATCTGCATGTCATATCAACAGAAATTGAATTTCTATTAATACGCCACACATCAAATCCTAAACCGAACCATGCAATTTAATTAAAAATCCACATGGTCTGGTTTGGGATTCGAAACCCAGCAGTCTCAGACTCATAAACTTGCCTATAAATGAATATAAACGCGATAGACCGCTACACCACCGTGCCCGATGTAAACAGTAGATATCAACAGCTAACTGTTTGTGATAACAGTAGAAATCAATGGCTGACTGTGATAACAGTGATATCAATGAGATTCCTAGACTGTTTGTGATGACAGTTAATAATAAGAAAATAAGTAAGTAAGTATAACGAATATTTACATATTATTGTTTGTGACAACAGTAGATACAGAATTTTGCTGTTTGTGATAACAGTAGTTGGTTACAATAAATAAATATTTTCTAAGAGTATTTCTTGATTATATTATTAAAGAATATTCTGATTGTAACATTGGAAATTTATGATTTAAAAGCCATACCTATATCCGTTTATGACATCAGACTATTATCATTTTCATCATGTAAGTATATATCCTCTACTGCTTCATCAAGTTATGACATCGGATAATTATGAATTACATCCTCTTTTTTAATCTGATTGTGATATCAGTTTATTTAAATTACCAGATGGGATATATTTTTACAATCCAAATTATCTTGGACTGCGCCATTGAATCATATTAGATAGGATCGGATAATCAAGAGTTATATCCTAATTTTTAGACTGATTGTGACATCACACATTCATTATGTAGGTATATTAGGCTACATTCCGGTTACAAAATCGGATATAATTTATACGTAGTGATAAAATTAAAATGAGTCTACATTTTTGACTGCATTATTAGGTTATGGTCTGATCCTAACATCGGATAATCACGAGTTACATCCTCATTTTAATTTGATTGTAAAATAAGATATTCAATATTTATTTTGAGTTATTTTCCGACTACGATATCGGATATAATTTATGTATATTTATAGAATAAAAAGCAAGTACCTATACAACCTATAATTCGTCATCAGATAATGACTATTTATTTTAAGCTACATCTCGACTAAGACATCGAAATTATTTTTTATATGTATTTATGAGATCCATAGTAAGTGTACATCCCTAACTGCTTCATCGGATAATCATGAGTTACATCTTCTTTTTAATCTGATTGTGACATCAGCTTCTCATTACGTTTATTGAGCTACATTCCGATTACTACATGGGATAGAATTTAAATTCCGTCTTGGCTTAGTAGCTATTCTATACCGTTTATAAAGAGGCATAGACAGACGATTATACCTACACAATCTAAATGGCCGGTTTTCGAGCTTAATATTATAGAAAATGTGTTGTAAACTTTTAAAGATGGGTGCTGTCCAGAAAGCAGAGCCATGTGAGGGCCAATTCTTTTTCAAAAGGTTTTTTAGACGGGTCGAGCCGTTTTTTTCTTAAATTAAAAATGTTTCATCAGAACAAAACATTTCAAAATAGAAGTTCATAAAGTAATATCGGCCATGTTGTTTCATGGCAAAGGTGGACTTAAGGGATGCCCATCATTTAGTACTAATTAATCTCACAAAAAATAAATAAATATTCAAATATAAGAACTCTTTGTACGAGTACAAATTGTCTGTTTTTGAGTAAGTGTTGCCCCATTTGTATTTACAAAACTGACGAAGCCACTAATTTATTTTCTATGAAGGAGATTTTTTTTATATGACGTATACATAGATGTTTTTTGGTAATAGGCAATTCATATGAGACACTATGTATTAAGTTTTTTCAGAAACTATTGGATTTCTAGAAAAATTAGCTTTTTATACTTGTTTTCTTATATAAAATTATAAAAATTATAAAATAATTTTCAGTACAAGAAAGATGGACCGACCATTAGAGAATTTTATAAATTGTAGGGGAAACTAGTTTTCTGCCTATATCCAGCAATACAATACTCTTTACTTTATACAAAGATCGTAGAGTGAGAAAAGTTCTTAGCTCGTAAAAAGCAAAAGGGGATAACAATTCAGTAATGAAAATATCTAAAGAGTTAGCAAATGTTTTGTTATGCTGGATTAATAAATTACGTGAGAGTAGATATCATATTCGTGTAGATTTCTTTGATATTGAAATTTTTACAGACGCTTTTAAGAAGGGATGGAGCGTGTTCTGCAATGGGTCTATTGGTCAGAATCTGAACAAGAGTATCATATAAATTTTCTACAGCTTTTATCAGTTTTGTTCAGGTTAAAATGTTTTTACAAACGAAAAACCATAAATTAATATACTGTACCGAGAAGATAACATTGTGGCTACTATTATTATAATGCGTTAAAAGAATGGGAAGTGTATTATACACTATTATATTAATATCCCAAGTTAAATACTCTTGCTCATACAATTTGGCGATGATGTGAACCGTTGCCTCTTTATATTTTTCCAAATTTAATTATCGAGCTGATAAAGCTTTCCGTTATTCAAAATATTAGACGGAATGGTGAATAGCAGTTTTCCGTTTTTTAAAAAAGAATAACCGTTTCGGTATCCCGGAAAGAACTTATTTGCAAGTATAATAAATGTTAAATGTAAACAATTTATATCTTGGCTGGGAAACCCAAACACAGTAGCCAGTAATACATTTTAGACTGGTTAAAATCTTTAATTTTATACATTTCTGCCTTTTAATATAATTTTATAAATTTCTACCTTTTAATATAATTTTATAAATACTACTACAGTAAACAAAAAGGTGAAAGTCGTGGTAGTGCTACCATTATGGGATTCTCAGCATTGGTATCCGTTATTTTGTATTTTTATTGCTATGAGTAGATCAGACATTGATATTCACTCCTAATAAGGACTTACTTTCTTTTGATAGGATAACCCATCCTTTCTCAGGAATAATTTTCCTGGTGGCAGGGATATTATTCAGTAAACCCTCAAGGGTATCGGATACTATGCCTAAAAAATATAACTCCCGATTAAAATTCTAGTTGGAAGTCCATGTTAGAATATTTAACAAGACAATTTTATAGTGATTCATCATATAATTCACTAAACTGTTGCAGATTAGATATAGCGCAAATAGCTGAACCTGAAATGGCACAATATTTTCAGGTAAAAAGTTTTTGTTTAGAAGTTGTTTAGGTTTAAGACCAGATGTGCTTCAATAACAAAACACGTGGGATATAAATGTAGTGTCAAAACCTTACCAATAAATTAGCAGTGTTACTGGTCTTATATATTGGTTAGCACATTCAAATTTTATAGCCATAGAGATACAGAATTGTCAGAAAAGAACAAGAAATTCAGAAAAAGGTAACGAAAAAAGTAAAGATATCAGCTAACAATAGAGTTTATCCCATGATAAACCTTCCGTTTTCTTTTATACAAACGCAGGTATTTGCGTAGACAACCTTGTTAGAGTATATATAAAAAAATTAAAGATTTAAGGGGTAATTGTGGTAGCCTCTGTACATTATAATTAGGAAGCCGGATCATGCTGCCTCTACGCAGACCATCAGCTTATGGATAAACTTCATTTTGAGTAATTGTTATGGAGCAATTTTTTCCTCTTAGAGCACATGACATATCTCTATTTTTTAAGTTTTCTTGAAAGTGGGTCAATTATGACAATATAAATTTTAAACTTGTAATCAGTTAAATATAAATAAAATGTTTTATCGTAATTTTTGTTGCAATATGCTTTAAACAGCGACATATATCCTATTTACGAGACGAGGCAGAAATATAATAATTATAAGATCAAACGAACTTACCTGAAGTGAAGTTCGATCTTAATTATATGATGCCTCGTCGAAGTAAATATGTCCCAGACCCACCCAATATTTATAAAGTCCCCTTAAGTTGCAACAAGTATGCTATGAAATGACTAAAGCAAAGTGTTGTGATGAGGGGATCGGTGGAGACGGGAATATATCAAATAGTTCCAGCTGTCAACTATGTCAATTCGAAGCATATACAAAGGGCGACATATATCTTATTTACTTCGACGAAGCATCATATAATTAAGATCGAACTTCACTTCAGTTAAGTTTGTTTGATCTTATAACTATATTAGCCTGAATATTATTATTTCTATAAGATTGTTGTTCGTAATGCATATCTTACGCGTTGTTGATTAAGTCGTAAAATCCAGGGGGGGCAACTGCCCCCCTTGCCCCCCCCCCCCCTAAACGACGCCCATGAGTCTAATTCTATTTTATAAAATAATTACTTCATTTTTAGCCATGCCGTACATTTTTCATAAAATATGTGCTTACCAGAAGAAAATTAATTTCCCTCTGAATAGTATGATTTAACGGTGAAAAATTTTTATACGGCATCAATATATTTTGTTAATACTGACAACAATAATCAACAAAACCAAAATATAAGGTATCTATTTATATATAATATATAATCATATATATATATAATAACTTATTTGGTTACAAAACTCTGTCTAGGTCTGTTTTCACTTTTTTTTTTCTATTTTTGAACCACCTTGTGTATTATCACATTTTCTTAATTTTTTAACTACCCTGTATCATATTTATGCTTTTTGTAAAACATTTTAATGTATTTTTAATACCTCTTATAATTTCTCTCATTTTAAGTGACTAATTTTGTTAAAAGACTGTATATTTACTTCTTGTCACATTTTTAATCACCCAGTATAATATATATTTATGTTTATATAATTCATCCTGCTTTTTTATTTTCTTTTGCATCCCGAATTATAGGAAAAGTACAAAGTACCTGTGAAAATTTTCTTAAAAGTGTATGGTCTCATCCTAAAGACCGGAGAAGTTGATCGGTCCTCGTATTTTATTTGTTTTTTTATATCTAAATATATGTTACAATAATCTATCGATTGATAGAATAATTTAATATAGTTTTTCAGTTTTATAAGAATTATAAGTAGTGAATTGATAATTTATAATTATAAATAATAAAAAGTCAATCTAATTTACAATAATATTTGTGAATTTATTTCATAAAAATTCTTAGATAGATTTGCTTTTTACAGAATTTTCTAATGTGATGTTATTTGATTCATGTTGTTAAACAACATACTTAAAATTGGTATTGTAACAAATGCAGTTTTAAATTATTTTCTACAAATTTTAAACATATTCTTTCGAGCCAATCGCTTCATGCCAATTTTCGCATAAATAAATTTTGTAAACAATTGTAGATGTAAATATGTTGATGCAAGGATACTGTTACTTACAAATATTATATTACTGTCTTAAGACAAGAATATCTATTTTAAGTAAAAAAGACTAAAATTTAATATTTGTGAGTCAAAAATAGTAAACAATGGCGTACGCAAAAGTTGGGACAATATTTTCCTTTGTCCAACCCTAATTGATGCGCTCCTAAATAAAATTAAAAACTTTAAATATGTTTATTACATTGGGTATAAAAAACTACTATTTTTATATGCCGTTTTACTCTTTCCCCTATATTGGTACTCATTGCTTTTAATACACCACACATATGGCTCATGTTTGTTGTAAATAGAAATAAATTTAAAACATTCTCGTTGTCCCTTTTTTTTAAGTGCTTCGTCATAGCACCAAAATTATAAATCGCACTACTCTAATAATTATCAAATCTCAACTGTTTCAAGTCTTTCATGTACACACGCTCAATTCCACTTGTGCAAGTCCGACATACACAAGTAAAAGCTATTAGTATGAGAGCCCACTGCAAATTTCGACCGTCATCTGATAACGAATTGAAATATGCTCCAAAGGCATGTAACAACATTGTACTTTACCAAATTGCACCTGTGACAATCCCTATCCTGAGCAAAGAGGCAAAAAAAAATTATTTTATATTCAAAAAAATCACATAAGACATGACAGCGACAATTGTGTTTGCCTTGAAAATTACAATCCTAATATTCATTGTGAACCTAACTTTTAAAACTGAATTATTAATAGTTTTACCTACCTGTAACATTGTGCATGTGTGAAAGGAAGAAGGATGGCATTGTATAAACCATTTTCCGAGATAGTCAATAATTATTATAAACTCTTTCTTTTAAACCATAATCATAGTAGTTTTTTGTCGTTTCTATGGCAACCTGTAAAAATAAATCAAAACAATAGGCATATAAATAATGTTTTAATTCAGCAAAAATTGATTCATATTGCTTTCCTATCTGTATTCGCTCAGTATTTACTGGAAAATGTATGAGAAGTTGCCTAAGTCTAATAAGTTGTCATTGAAGAATTAGCCTATTCTGTCAAAATAAAAAAATACCATTTAGCGTGAAGTTAAAATGTATTAAAAAGGGATCGTTTATATTTTCATTTTTGTTCGAAAGAAAACATAGAATGAATGATTAAAACTGGTTTTCCATCGCAGTAAGTCACAAAATTGCATTCCAGCCACTTATAATAATCAAAGGCGGAAATCGTGAAATCTAGTCCTTGCTGAATGAACATTTAAGAATAAAGTGATATTAAAGAACATCGTAAAATGATAATTTATTGTTTATTTAAAACCTTTCAAGTTTCTGATGTGTACTATTTCCAGCATTACTGTTATTGTTACAAAAATAAAGGTAATTTTTCTTCTTATTCTACACCTATCCATTTATTTCTTTGATTTATTTTCAAATAAGCTACTGACATTTTTTATACCGGGTGTTCAAATTAAAGTGTTACAGTTAAATACCGCCAAAAATATGCATTTTAGAAAAAAAAGTTTCAGACAAAAGTTTTATGGTTTTTTGGGGGAAATATTTTGGCTAAATTCATTTTTTTATAGCTGACCATAATATGGCCATATCGAGGTGAACTTTGTTTTTTAAATGGGAATCCCATTTTTTTCTTACATATTCTTAAAGTACATAAAAAAATAAGAAACTTTTGAGAGAAATAATTTTTTTTATTGGACTTTTACTTTTTGAGTAACAGCTACTTGAAAATGTTGCTGCGCGAAAAAAAAGTTGGCCATATTATGGTTAGCTATAAGAAACGATTTTAGCCAAAAGTTTTTCCCCACAAAACTATAAAACTTTCGTCTGAACGTTTTTTTTAATAAAAAGCGGTATATAGCTGTAACGCTTTAATTTGAACACCCGGTATAAGTTTCACTGTTTTTTACTTTCCTATCTGTATACAGATATAAGGAAAGTAGGAAAGTATAGAAATCATGATTTTTCGACTTCGAGTTTTCGACGGATTTTTACGTTCTGACTATTTTCGCGATGATGTGTGTGTGTGTGTGTGTGTGTGTGTGTGTGTGTGTGTGTGTGTGTGTGTGTGTGTGTGTGTGTGTGTGTGTGTGTGTGTGTGTGTGTGTGTGTGTGTGTGTGTGTGTGTGTGTGTGTGTGTGTGTGTGTGTGTGTGTGTGTGTGTGTGTGTGTGTGTGTGTGTGTGTGTGTGTGTGTGTGTGTGTGTGTGTGTGTGTGTGTGTGTGTGTGTGTGTGTGTGTGTGTGTGTGTGTGTGTGTGTGTGTGTGTGTGTGTGTGTGTGTGTGTGTGTGTGTGTGTGTGTGTGTGTGTGTGTGTGTGTGTGTGTGTGTGTGTGTGTGTGTGTGTGTGTGTGTGTGTGTGTGTGTGTGTGTGTGTGTGTGTGTGTGTGTGTGTGTGTGTGTGTGTGTGTGTGTGTGTGTGTGTGTGTGTGTGTGTGTGTGTGTGTGTGTGTGTGTGTGTGTGTGTGTGTGTGTGTGTGTGTGTGTGTGTGTGTGTGTGTGTGTGTGTGTGTGTGTGTGTGTGTGTGTGTGTGTGTGTGTGTGTGTGTGTGTGTGTGTGTGTGTGTGTGTGTGTGTGTGTGTGTGTGTGTGTGTGTGTGTGTGTGTGTGTGTGTGTGTGTGTGTGTGTGTGTGTGTGTGTGTGTGTGTGTGTGTGTGTGTGTGTGTGTGTGTGTGTGTGTGTGTGTGTGTGTGTGTGTGTGTGTGTGTGTGTGTGTGTGTGTGTGTGTGTGTGTGTGTGTGTGTGTGTGTGTGTGTGTGTGTGTGTGTGTGTGTGTGTGTGTGTGTGTGTGTGTGTGTGTGTGTGTGTGTGTGTGTGTGTGTGTGTGTGTGTGTGTGTGTGTGTGTGTGTGTGTGTGTGTGTGTGTGTGTGTGTGTGTGTGTGTGTGTGTGTGTGTGTGTGTGTGTGTGTGTGTGTGTGTGTGTGTGTGTGTGTGTGTGTGTGTATGTGTGTGTGTGTGTGTGTGTGTGTGTGTGTGTGTGAGTGTGAGAGTGTGTGTGTGTGTGTGTGTGTGTGTGTGTGTGTGTGTGTGTGTGTGTGTGTGTGTGTGTGTGTGTGTGTGTGTGTGTGTGTGTCGCATAACTCATGAACCGATAGACAGAAAAACACTAAATTTTAAACTTAAGCTTTGTTCCAGCGTCTAATGAACTGATTAGATTTTGGGCAGAGTCGGAACATCTGGGGGGTACTTTATAGGTGGTCATTTTTATATTTTATGGAATATATCTGTTATTTACATTTGGATAAAACAATTCTTCAAATAAAAGTTACTCCTAATATTATTATCTATAATTTTTGTTTTATATAAAATTTTCCTAAAATGGTCCGTATTCGAGAAATTTGATAAAATGTAAAAAAAATATTTTTTTTTATAAAAATTGTTAAAATAAAAGTTGTTTGTAATATAATTCTCTATAAGTTTTAGCTTATACATAATTTCTCTATAATGGACCGTATTCGAGATATTTGAGAAAATGTGTAAATTTCGAATTTTGAAGAAAATTCAAAAACGAATAAAGAAAAAAACATTAAATTTTAAAAATAGATTTTATTTCGGCCTGACGTAAAATGATTAGTTTTGGACAAAGTCGGAACATCTGGGGGGGTACTTTATGGGAGGCCGTTTTTATATTTTATGGAATATATCTGTTTGGAGGAAAAAATTCTTCAAATAAAAGTTACGGCTAATATTATTATCTATAATTTTTGTTTTATGTTAAATTTTCCTGAAATGGTCCGCATTCGAGAAATTTGACAAAATGTGCAAAATTCTGATTTTTAAGAAAATTGTTGAACTAAAAGTTGTTTGCGATATCGATCTTTATAATTTTTGTTTAAACGTGATTTTTCTAAAATGGACCGTAATGAAAAGATTTGTAGGAAAAGTGCTAAATTTAAATTTTTCAGTATTTTCATTTTCAATGAATATCTATAGAAAAATGTTTCGAGGTAGATGTATGTGGAAAATGTATATATTTAGTTTATCCTCTAAACATTTATAGAGGTGTTGCAATGGGTTGTACAAAATAACCGGAAAAAGCCTATAATAACTAGATAGGAAAGTCATGTGTTGGACACATCAGATTTTCTGTGCGATGTTGAGAGGAAGAAAATGTTTTTTTTAACGATATATATCAAGATATATTTGAATTTGTTATTTTCTGGAAAACTTTAAGGGCAAACAAAATTATTTTTTTTAACCACTTTGCTCAGAATTGGGATTGACACATTTGGTAAAGCACAATATTTTTACATGCTTTTGGGGTATATTATTTCATTTCGTTATCAGATGACGGTAAAAATTTGCAGTGGGCTCTTGGGCTATATAGACTTTCCACTAGTCTCATGTCGTTTGTACAATTACAGTTCATCAAATTTCTAGAGGTGATCGACGCCCAAACAGAGAACGCGCTACGTGTGACTAAGATAGCTATTGTACAGTCTGCTAAACAAGTTATTTTAAATAGTTTTTAGGTAATGAAATTTTAAAAGTGTGGAATAGTTTAGGGATTAAATTGGTTTGATTGGACTTTCTTAGAACGTTTTTAAAAGCAGCTAAAGATAGTATGTAGAATTGAAAATAATTATTATGCCATAAAAGGTGTTTTGGAATTCCTTCAACCTTTTGAAATTGAGTCAGAAAATATAAATTTTATAGGATAGCGGAAAATACCTATAATTTTTTTGTAGGCCTTTGTAAATCGTGGAAATAGTTTATATTTTATTTCTACCTTATTAAGGAAAATGGTACCTATTATTAATAACGGTTGTTTCTGAAACATTACTAAAATTTTCGAAATTTTGTTTTTCTACAAAATAATAAACTATACTATTAAGAAAAAAATTTATTTCTCTTATAATTTTATAAAAAATAACAGGGGAATATTTACATTTCTTGATCTATTAAACAAAACGATAAATTATCTCGACGAATGACACCATGTTCTAGTACGGAAGCTAACTTTACATTTTTGTTGGTAGTTTCATGGGTTTTATATCAATTTTTTGTAATTGTAGTTTACACGTACATATACCTCTTAACACTTGTTTGCTTTATTAAAAAAGTGTGTTGTTGTGATTTACGTCGAAATAAGTCAAAAACAACTTGAAACCCCATATAAAAATCAAAAAGGAGAAACGGAAAAAAATTGAGCCTGTAAATAAACACAACTCAGAAACAAAAATAGCTATCTAATAATAAAAAAATAAAATTTGATTCTTGTGCAGCTTCATCTATATCATTAACTGTTTTTGGTTTTTTAATGGTTTTTCTTGGTGATGAAAATTCCGATATCTCACGGTTATCGATTCTTTTTTTCTCTCCAGAAACGCGGACGACAGTGTTTTTAGATACTTCTGTGGCTGCAGCAACACGATCATTTACATTTTTAAATGGTATTGAAGGTGAATTAAAGTTTCCTTCTCTTCTCATAAACTCTATAACATTGGCTATTATTTCGCGAGATTGACTGTTAATCACGCGGCCTCTTAATTTGCTATTAAACTCCATACTTAGATTCTATTAAACTGTAATGAGCAAAAAACACAAACGAAAATAAAAGAAATGTTTTAGCGAAATTTACATCTGACATTTACGTCTGAATGAAATAGTGAAATACTTGATGCGCAGAGTGTACTTTCATTGCGTAAATCCGTCGGGATGCCTGTCAGTAGTGCTTCCTCTGTCTAGCCGTCGAAAGCCTCTAGAAATTTGATGAACTGTAACGTACCTGTGCAAATAATACCAAACATACATTTCAGTATACTTGTGCAATTAACTTGTACATGTATACCGTTAAAGTATACTGATACGTCTATGCCTAAGGGATTCGTTTTTATTTTGCTTTGTTTAGTAAAAATAACGTCATTTACTGGTTTCTTGGTAAATACAGAGTGGCCCAAATGTCTGGAAACAGCCACTTATCTCGTAAATTGCTTGTCCTAATTGTACAAAATTTGGGGTACACCTATTTTGGGATACGGAGATTTCAGATTTGATATTTGCAATGTTGCCGGATTTGCCGTTTCTCTTATATTATTAGTCACTTTGGTTTTTCAAATTCATCACCCTATATATTCAGTCATTATTAGTATCTCCTATTTAATACGAGTTTGACCATATGCAACACTTATAATTTTATTTAGTCTAGATGGTCTTAAATAAATAAAACAATGCAAAATATGTAGATTTAAAGAAATTTAAATCTAGAATGTTGTGATTTTGACATTTGTTCGCATTTACATTATTAACTAAAACTGACAGTAGTTTGTGTTTTGAAAAGTTCTGTAAGGTAAATGGCTTCTAATGATGATAGGGTACTGTCACGATTCGTATAAATCCATATTTTTCCTAATTTTAATTAATTATTTAAATAACATCCTGTACATGAAACTTTGTTTAATTATGTCAACAATTTGTTTTAAATTGCAATAATGTGCAAGGTTGGTTATTTAATAATTATTAAACATTAGTTTTAATAACAATAAACTATGAGAAAGTTATAAAAGTAATGTCGAGGGGATGCGCAGGGCTTTTTCCACAGGGAACGAATCCTCCCCATAGGAGGCCCCCTGTAGGAGATTCCCTGTAGCAGCTCCAGCTCATTCTTCATAGTCTTCAAAGTCTTTATTTTGTATTTTGAATAATTGCATTTTTGAATAGTTAGCTAAGGGTTGTGACATGTGCCCAAGTATTAGTGGAGTTGGTAAGTTTACGTTTTATGTACTTGTTATTACATTTGTGTATGTCGAGTTAAGACATTTTATATAACCGTTGTAATTACATTATACTTGTTTTGAGAACACTGTATTTTCTTCAGCCCTTGTTTAAAGACGTGTTAGGTTCTTACAGCAGGAGTAGAACCCTTATATAGTTAAGGGCTACGAAGCCAAGTTTAAGGCTAAATAGTGTTTATGTGATTGAGGCACAAATTAATATATTTTGTTATTTAACCCCCAGGACATAGATAGTCCCAAAATTATTATAAAACCACGCTTAACGCCTCCACCATGTCACGTTACATATGGTTGAACTCATATTGAATAGGATATTCCAATAAAGAGAATGTACAGGGGGATGAATTTGAAAAACCAAAGTGACATAAGAGAAACGGTAAACCTGGCAACATTGCAAATATCAAATCTGGAATCTCCGTATCCCTAAATAGGTGAACTTCAAATTTTGTTCAATTAGGACTAGCAATTTACGAGATAATTGGCCGTTTCCAGACTTTTGGGCCACTCCGTATATAGTGGATGGATCTTGTCTTGGTGATATTTATATTACAATTACCTCTTTTTTTAGAAATAAACAATTACAGTTTGTTGCTCATATTTTATTATAGAAACAAAAAATCTTTACTAATTTGAATGAATTGTTTCAGATACCGAGAAAATGTAAAGAAGAGATCAATTTTGTTTAAAGATAGACCAATACAGCCGATGGAATTGGCTATTTATTGGATAGAATATGTTATAAAACACGAAAGCGCGAAACATCTTAGGGTGGCTGCATTTCACCTCGAATGGTACCAGTATTTCCTTTTTGATGTCGTCTTCGTAGTACTTATTAGTCTTTTAGCAATAGCATCTTGTATTTTTTATGTTTGTTTAGTTTTATACAAACGATTTTTTAAAAGTAACAAACTGAAAATTAATTAATATTAAATGAAAATAATTTATATATTCTTGTTTTTTTTTATAATTACCTTTTCTATCAACCACCAGGTTTGTGTAAAACTATAGGACCGCTCCCAGTTTTAAAAAGTATCGATTAGATTAGGTTGAAAATGAGTGGGTTAATTTAACTGACTTCCACTGCAGTCCGGATGGATCTATTGGGGCTCACATCTAACCTTTAGTTCACCTTACAAGCCACACCTTTGATAAAGTTCATGGTTGAATAGGGTGAAATCTGTTTAAACTCAGTAGGCACCAGTCGCGTGAATCCGAAGATCTGAAACTTAGTTCTTTCCAGAGCGGAGCAGATACTTAGAATGTGCTCTGCGGATTCGTCATCCAGGCTGCAGAATTGATAGTCTGAGGTTTGTTGCAGGCCTATTCTTTTCATGTCATCAGTTCCGTAAGCATGGGTAAATCTTTCATACTCCATTCCAATTCCCGGGTATCTCCTGGGCTATCTTTCTAGTTCGTCAGTGTTACACTTTCGTACATTTTAAGATAGTTTCTTCGGCAGTGCTCTTTGCAATGTCCAGAAATGATTCTTGTCGTATGAATTGTTCCTCTTTTAGCAAGTACATCGGTTTTTTTATTGCCCTCCACACAGCTTGTTCTATCCTAGAATCCAGATCAAAGTAACTTTTCTCTGGACCCCGAAACGCAGCTTTAAGTCAACTTGATTTTAGCTCCGGGTCTTGAGGACTGATTGGCTATCTGAAAAGATATTTATAGTATTGTTAGCGGGGAAAAATTCATCAACGTTCCCAATTCTATAGCAATCATTTCTACTTAGAATATCGTGGATATAGAGCCCAGGTTTAATGATATGTCAACTCTTAGCTTTCGGCCAAAAACTTCCGCTCTTACTCCTTTTTGAATTGTGGAGCCGTCCGTGTACAGCTAGTCCGCCTGTGAAAGTGTTTTAACCCCTCTGTTCCATACATCTTTTTTTAGAATAAGGACGCTGTTTGCATTTTCTATGTGCTGTCGGGGAACTAGGAAGTCTGAGACCATAACGAGAATGTGGCCGTTAATAATCTCACTCATCAGCCCTGTTCTGTTCTATCGCAGTTCTCCATTGTATCAGGAATCTAGGATACCATCCTGGCCTCCCTTTCCAGCAAAATGTGGAGAGAGGTTGGATCCAGCATGGTCTCAATGGTTTCCGCCGGTTTAATTGAGTCTCTCCCTCTCGTCTATGTAGTTTACATTGCCCCAGTGATGGAGAGGTACGCACACCGCTAGAATCCAGACAGCTTTGTTCTGGCTGTCCGATGGAGTCTCTTGTCCTACTAGACAATGGAGCCGTACGTAACCATATGTTTTACCTTGGTTTAGTAAATTCAGTAGATCAGTTGAGATTTGATCTCCCATGTTTTGTCACATATCATTTGAGGGTCCAGAGGGATAGTGTGGTTTTGTTGACAGTATTTTACAATTGGGAGTTCTAGGTAAGTTTCTTATCTAGGATAATCCCTAGATATTTCACTTCTTCCGCAAAAAATGGCTTCCCTGACCAAGGTAGGTTGTCGAAGCTTGTCGAGTTTTCTTTTTTAATGAAAGGAACAGTTTTCCGGAAGTTAATAGAAATCTGCTCCCTCTCACACGATCTGTTGACCGTATTTAGGGTTTGTTGAAATCACCCGTTCGTATTTTCCTCTAATTTTGATAACTAGATCATCTGCATAGCACTGAAAATATACATTCTGCCGAGAAGATCGGCTAGTAGATTATCAACCAGAATGGTCCATAGTAGGGGCGAAGGTACGCCACTTTGTGGACATCCTTTGGCAGGCCTGAAAGTAAGAAAATGATGTTTCAGTGATGAAATGATGTTCCCGTTTCCAAGCATACTTTTGATTCAATTACAGGTTAGTTTGTCGATTCCTTATCTTTTAATACAAGCGAACAGAGCCTGAGGAAGTGCGTTATTAAACGCGCCTTCTATATCTAGCGCCATCTCTTCGTGTTTTAGGGAATCGTCGATTTTGTCTACTAGATTATGCAGGACATGATCTATTGCTTTTCCTGCTTGGTAGGCATATTGAGACGAGTTTAACGGGTTTTTCCACATACTTTGATTACTATACAAGGCAAGAGAGAGGTCCGACACGCCCAACATAGGGCGCGGTTATTTTGAACCCTGTGACACAGTTTACAGCTAAAGAATCAGATCGCTCACTCTGCGTCGGCACTTTGGATGTTAATGTTTCAGTCTATACACTGTGCAACTCGGATAATACAATATATGACAACCGCCTATAATAAAACAGCAGTCTTCTGCGTATCCTGAATTTGTATCCCTGGAGTGGATGTTATTTTGGAACTTTCAACTGGTCCGAGTGAGCTAACTGATTCTTTAGCAATAAACTGTGACTTCACTGACACTGACAGCAGCAAGCAAAATATCAGGTGCGTTTTAATCATCCGCTTCTGCTTCCGGAATTGTCGGTTTAGTCGTTTTAACCTGTCAGATTAAAACAAGAAAACTGACAATTCCGAAGCAGAAGCGGATGATTAAAACGCACCTATTAAAAATATTGCGCCAAGATGTAGGCAACACGTAATAAGGGTTCAAAATGGTGGAGTTTTCTATCTCGTTTTAAAAGGCACTCAGAAAGCTGCGCAGTGTGACCATTCTCTGTATAGTAAAAGAAAATCAAAGTATGTGGGTTTTTCCGAAAGCTTCCTTTTCTGATATGCCCATCTATAATTCAGTCTAGTGTCTTCAAAAGGATATTAGGCAGATTGAAAGATAGCAGTTTGGTTGTAATGTATCTACTGTGCCAGCCTTGTGCATATACACAACTTTCGCTATCGTCCAACCTATCAGGATATTGCTCTACCACAGGCTTGCTCTAAACGGCCTCTTGAGGAGGGGTAGGTCAGGTTAGGTTGAAAATGAGTGGGATGATCTCATCGCCTTCCACTGCGACCCAGATGGGTTTTTTTTGTGGCTCATGACTAACTTATAGTTCACCGTACAAGCCACACCTTTTGATGAAATCCATAGTTAAATTGGGTGAGACTTGTTTAAAGTCAGTAGGCTCCAGTCGGGTAAATCCGAAGATCTAGAACCTGGTTCTTTCCAGAGCGGAGCAGGTACATAGATGTGCTCTGCAGACTCGTCCTCCACGCTGCAGAATTGACAGTTCAATGTTTGTTGCAGACCTATCCTTTTCATGTGGTTGCCCAGACGGTAGTGTCCTGTCATGAGTTCAGTGAAAATGGGTAGATCTTTCCTCCTTCATTCTCGGATCTGAGCAGAAGCGCTCATAGAAGGGTTGGTTATCAACGCTTTCGAATGAATTAGCCATGGGGTATCTCTCCAGTTCGTGAGAGTTGCACCCTCCGTCCATTTTGAGATAATTCACTTTACAGTGCTCTTGGCAATGCCCAGGAATGGTTTTGGTCCTTAAACACAAATTCGGTTCCTCTTTTAGTAAGCGCGTCGGCTTTTACGTTGCCCTCCACACCACTGTGTCCCGGAACCTACATCAAAGTAACTTTGTTCCGGGCACCGAGACATTCAAGGGTATTTATACAGTTCCAAACCAGCTTTGAGTCAACTCGATTGGAGCTCAGGGCCATAAGGGCTACCTGGCTATCAGAAAAGAGCTTTATAGAGAAAATTAATTAACTCTTTCGCTCCCAATTCTATAGCAATCATTTCTGCTTGGAAGATCGTAGCCAGAGATCCTAGGTTTATTGATATGTCAACTCTAGGCCTCTGGATGAAAACTCCAGCTCCTACTCCTTTTTCACTTTTGGAGCCGTCCGTGTACAACGCATCGTCTGCCTGGGAGAGGGTTTTTCCCCTCTGCTCCATGCGTCTTTCTCTGGAATGAGGACACTTTACACTGTATGACTTTTCTATGTGCTGTCGGAGAACTAGCAAGTCCGAGACCATGCTGAGGATGAGGTGGTTATTAATTTCATTCATTAGCCCCGTCTTGTCCCATCGCAGTTCTTCGTAACATTGACTACCCACCTTCAGTAGTCTGTAGGACACCATCCTGGTATCCCTTCCCAGCAGAATGTGGAGAGAAGTTAGGTCCAGCATGGTCTCCACGGCTCCCGTAGGTGTGGTTGACATTGCACTCAAGCTGCTGTATTCCAGCCAGCTTTGCTCTGGCCGTCCGTTGAAGTCTCTTGTCTCACCAGACGACAGAGCCGTACGTAACCATGGGTTTTACCACTGTTTGGTAAATCTAGTAGATCAGTTAGGGAATTTCCGATTTTATCTACTAGATTGTGCAGGGCATGATCTGTCGATTTGGTCGATTTGCCTGCTTGGTAAGCATATTGGGAGGAGTTTAGCGGGCTTGCCTGAAGACCTCCTTCTCTAATATGCCTATCTAGAATTATCATTAGTGTTTTTAGAAGAAAGGATGTTAGGCAGATTGAAAGGGAGGTATCTACTCTACCAGCCTTGTGTATATACAAGACTTTCGCCATCATCCATCCTAGCAAGATATAGCTTCACGCTAGGCTTGTTCTAAACAGCCTCACAAGGAGGGGTAGCAGGAGTTTCTGTCCTTTTTGCAAAAAGGCAGGAAAAATTCCATCCTTTCCGGGTGATTTAAAGTGGGAGAATGAATTCATCGCCCATTTCACGGCATTTGGAGGGACAATGAGGAGGGGTAACCTGGTTTCCTGTTTTTTTTTTGAAAAAATAAGGAAATATGTCATCCACTCCGGGTAATTTAAACCATTTAATGGAAATTGCAGTTTAAGTCCTTTTTCTTGGATCGTGGGATCAATTCCCTAGAAGTAAGGGGTACAGGTTGCCTGTCCTTCAAAATTCGATTGCTTGGGAAGTTTTTCTGTAGAAAAGCCTTTAACTTTTCCTTACCAAAATCCATATAGATACTATCGGGTCATTTTATCGAGTTGACTTTTTGTCTCGAATCTTTGGCGAGAATCTTGTGCACTTTAGGGCTTGCAGATAAATCTGATGTACTCTGACAAAAGTTCCTCTA